TAGCACCGACCACAGTGATAGGCTGCGGCGGGGGGGGGGGGGGGGGGGTGGAGTTGTGCCGAGCACAGGAAAATGGGCAGGGAGACGAAGCAAAAGAATCCCCGAAAGCCGGGTTACTCCCATAGCAAGGGTGAGGGTGCCGAGCACCTCACGGCTGGGAGGCACAGAGCATACTCCGGAGGAAAGAGGAAACCAGCCTGGCTTACGGGGAAAGTGCTTTGAGAGGAACAGGGAGATAAGGCAGCAGAGACCTCATGGGAAGTTTCAACTGACCTGCAAACCAAAGAAGGCAGGTGTGGCGAGTCCCAACCACACGCAGCTCACCACTCACCTCCTCTGCTTTTCTGCTATAAAACTAAAAGTGAGTCAATCAGACCTTAAGGAAATGTGGATGCCGTGCTCTGTGACTAGGGTAATACTGTTCCTAATCCTATAAAACCAAAGCACCACAGGGCCCTGGCTCTGTGAAGGTGAAGCGCCCCAGCTGCCCAACGGCAGTGTGCTGGCAATCGTGTGGTGACTGGGGACACAGGCAAAGGGGCCAGACTTGGCCGCAAAGTCCGCCCTTAGGCCTGGCGGCAGCGAGACCCTACTAAATGCCTGACCCCTTCCGAGCCTCAGTTTCCTCCTCTGTAAAATAAACACGTTCATAGTCTTTACTCTGCAGGGCTGCTGTGAGAATGAAAAGCGAATCGACATGAAATGTTTCATGCCTAACCTTAAAGAGAACACTCCATAAGCATCAGTTGTATTATTATTACTATTACTATTATTATTATTGTTACATAGGGGTTTGGTTTAGCTTAGGGGTTTGGTTTGGAGTATATCTAAGTAGTGGAATCCTGTGCAACCTTTAAATATCTTGTGGTGGAAGACTATTTATTTACATAACAAGTCACAATACACAGACAAGTCGGGAGGCACGAAAGCATGCTACAAGTAACATGGTTATTAGGATTTCCCGTGCATGATTCTGGGTAAACACAAATATCCATAAATGCAAAAACTGGAGAAACACACTGCTTTTACCTGTTTTTCTGTGTTTTCTAAGAGAAGGGAAGAAATTATTTAATAATAAAAGTAATAACACCACCTTCACTTTGGGCAAGGCTTTTCATTTTCCAAAGCTTTTTCATATGACCTTGTTTTTACACTAATTTAAGTTTTAACGACCGCTATTGAACTGTTATTCTGCCCAATGCCTTCGAGCCAAAATCCTGAAATCCATCTACCTAACCCCCAAAAGGACAATCTTTCCACTAAAAGACCATCTTTCACTGACACCTCTGCTAACAATCAAGTAGCTGGTTCTTCCCAATTGACGGAGCAGAGACAAATCCATTATCAGAGCCAGGGCTTTTTTGCAAGTAGTTTTAAGAAGTGATGTTTGAGTTAATGATGCAATGTGGTAAAGGAGTATAAGCCATTGGTTAAATCAGGGGTCTGAGCCACACATCCCCAGGCCTGGCTAACCTTGTTTGGCTGTATGATGCCAAACATCTGAAATAAACATTTCTTCCCAATGCATGTCCCACATTAAGATTCCATGGGAAGACTACCAGCTGCCTCCCCCACCAGCCCTGCTCTCCCTCTTCCTTGGTAATAGCCCCTGATTATTAGCTGGGCTCACTGCCACCCAGATTAAAGTCCTGCATCTCCCAGCCTCCCCTGCGCCAGCCATGGCTATATGATTACATTCTGGACAATTAATGCAAGCAGATGTGTTTTTGCTGGACTTCTGGGAGGATCACGGAAGCCAACTTAACTCCAGGAGCACCTTTTTCTGTGCTTCTGCTTTTCTTCCTCCTTCAGGCCTGATACTTGGACCAAATAACTGGCATTTCAGCAGCCATCTCAGACCGTAAGGCATGCCTGAGAATGCAAGCCATGTATTGGGATGGAGTGAAAAATGAGCCTGGATCCCTGATGACACTGGGATGTCCTGAACTCTGCAGACCTCTTTTCAAAGACGAATGAACGTACACCTTGTTTTAGCCACTGCTATTGTGGTTTTTAGGTTATGTGCTGTCAAACCTAAACTTACTGAGGATTAATATCATAGGGTGCTGTGCACCTTCCATTGCCAGTTAACAGCACGTGACTTTTAAAGTAGGTGACCAGGATAGTAAAGCATTTTAATTAATCACCTTTCCACTGAGCCTTTTATAACAGATGTTTATCACCAACTACTTTCTTTTTTCCACAAAGACAATCCCCATATGTACATAGTCTTTTCCCTAGCGGATCTAAGTCAACTAACACATAGGATTCCTGGAATTCTGCCCTCACATGACAGCGGCCAAAATCCAACTCTCTAGAATCCTTAATAAAAACCAAGAGAGGGGCGCCTGGGTGGCTCAATAGGTTAAGCGGCTGCCTTCGGCTCCGGTCATGATCCCAGGGTCCTGGGATCAAGTCCTGCATCCGGCTCCTCGCTCAGTGCGGAGCCTGCTTCTCCCTCTGCCTGCCGCTCCCCCTGCTTGTGCTCTCTCTCTCAAATAAATAAATAAAATCTTTAAAAAAAAAAAAAAAAGAGGGCACGTACTGCATGGAGCACTGGGTGTTACACAAAAACAATGAATTGTGGATCACTACATCAAAAACTAATGATGTAATGTATGGTGACTAACGTAACATAATAAAATAAAATTAAAAAAAAACAACACTCACCTCATGAGTTAATGTAACTAATGGTCAGATAAATTACCATTTAAATAAAAACTTTTGCTCGGGGGGGAAATAAAAGAAAAAAAAAGACTCATACTGGATTCACACAATCCCAGGCAAACAGCCACCACAGACAAATGTCAAGGAGCTATCCCAACTCCCCTGTGAGGTTTATAGCAGGCATCAATATCAGCACCAACCACGCAGCCCAATGGATTCCACACATTTCTGGGCATCCGCGACCCCCTTGAGGTCAAGGGTCAGACTGTACCACGTGTAAGTCCAACTCCCGCCACAGCACAGTGCTCCTGAGGGCTCCATCTTGGCAATCTGAAAGCCCACTAAAGACAAAGAAAGAATAGGGTTTTGTCTCCCCAGTGACAGAATGACATTGAGGTCTCTTGCCATCTCCTGTAAACAGCAGAACCTTAGCAAGGTAACTTTTCTTTCAAAAGAGCCTAGACTTCCAAACGCAAATCTCATGGAAGGTAAAACCTGGTGTTTACAGCTTGAAATTACAGCCAAATTTGAAACTTCCTGGAGGAAATGATTGACTTTTACAATTCCGTCATCCTAGCCCAAGTTTTTCAAAGGGCTCAGTACATATGATTAGAGCACTTTGCCTACTTCTTCCAGCATAAGGATATAAGAAAAAATGAAGAACAGTCAGCTTCTACATCACATTTTCTACCAACGCATCTGCTTATTCTTACCCCATCATCCGAAGCAATGTCTAGGCAGAAATGTGAAAGGGATCACCAAAAGTTTTAATTTAATACATTTAAAGAACAGAATCTGGGAGGAGGGATGAGAATAATCTTATTTTATGGAATCTTAATCCTTCACATGCATTATATATAATGTTCCATGCTTTTACAAGGATGAATGTTTCTTTTTTTTTTTTTTTAAGGATGAATGTTTCTATTATTAAGAGAGAAAAGGGCTCAGGTAGAAGAGATAAGGGTAAGAAAGGCTATTTTAAAGTAAATTGGAAAGTCTATTTGTCTATGGGTGTGTCTGTACGTACAAACATATATACATATACATTTACATATATATAAAATAGTTACTTGAAAAATGTCTGGGAGGATATGCCAAATGTAACAGCTATACTCCCTGAAGGAAAACATTATTGGTTATCTTTCCCTTTTTTATCTACACTGCCTAATTTTTGTACAACATCTACTTAAATAATTTTAAAATGTATTTTCCCCTGAAACAAATAATATACTATATGTTAATAATTTTAAAAAATAAAATCATAATTATAAAATAAAAATAATTGTAATTGTCCAACAACAAAAAAACACACACAAAAAAAAACCCCATATTTTTAAAAAGTAAACATTCACAGTAGTATTGACAGAAAAATAAACCACATCTGGAACAGCTCAGAACAAAACAAAGTCCAAAGGAGTTCCTGGCTCAGTGCCAAAGGAGACAGAGAGCAAAGTTCCTGGGACCCACACCACCCCCTCCAAAACCCTAATGCCCCCTCTCCAGACAGGATGCTCAAAGTCATCTTAAGCATATCCTACTTAACAAATTCTATCCTCTCTACCACACAGTGCAGGCAAGAGAGAGCACAAATTACCGCACAAAAGCAGCATAGTCCCAGCGCCTGCAGATTCCTCCAAGGAAAGAGACTGGTTTCCACCAACTCACCATATAATTATGTCTAACACTTGCTTTACAATCCAGTTTATGGATCCTGAATGTTTCATAAACAGTTACTTCTCAGTTCCCTGCTATTAAACACTAGGTAGTTACAACAATTCATTAATAAGACCCGCAGGCTACCAGGAGTCTATACTACCACCAGCAGGTCACGCTTTCCCAATGGACACTGTCACCCGAATCGGCTCCACAGCTCAAACAACATGCCTCTTCTTCCCTGTAGCCCCTTCTCTGGGGGGTAGCTCAAGTTGGGGTGGTCAGGTAGAACGCAAAGAGGAATTATAATTACCTGTTGTTCCACCAAAGAGGGAAACCCCTTTTGTGATTACAGACACACTTCCCTAAAGTGGAAAAATCTATCTATATATATATGTGGATATGTATTGCACAGCGTAGCAGAATTCTACACTGCCAACCTTGCCTGCTCATAAGAGCTCAGAATTATTCCAAACCCCTCGGCTGCCTCATTCTTCTCTTTCTAAACCAATTTTTCCTGGCACTCATTCCATCCCTACATCTCAACTCAAGGATGGAACGGTTTTAACCAAGAAGTTTCACTGCCCACTGAGATTCCTTTAGGAATCCACTCCCACCAGAGCCATAGACTGAGTATAAAAGTGCTCTTGAGCCCTCCAGCCCCATCTCTTCATACTCACTGTTACTGGACTTAAGGTCGCGGTGGATGATGGGGACAATTGCCTCATCATGTAAGTAGTTCATCCCTCTGGCAATCTGCACAGCCCAGTTCACAAGGATGTCTGGGGGAATCCTTTTCCCAGATAACACTCTATTCAAAGGCCCTCCACGTGCAAACTCCATGACCAAGCAGAGGTTGGGTTCCTTCAGACACACCCCCCTAAGGGCAATGATGTTGGGGTGCTTCAGCATGGCGAAGAGCTTGGCCTCCTGGCGAACATTCTCTATAGTCTGGCTGATGTCCTCATCGGGGTCATGGCGAGCTGCTTTCACGGCAACCTCATCCCCTATCCAGAAAGCACGATAGACCTTCCCAAAGCCCCCGATGCCAATAATCTCTTCCAGGGTTAGCTCCGCAAAATCAATCTCTAACACTGAGAAAGAGAAGAAAAAAGGAAGTCAAAAACATTCTGAAAAATACCACTGAATCACCCATTTACCGATGGGTAAACATAGCAAGTTATCTGTTCACTTGGCTTGTCTCCCCACTATAAGGTAAGCTCCATCAAGGCAAGAAATGTGGCTAACCTATTTTCTGTTGCATTATTCTTAATGACTAGCACATAATGAGCATTCAATAAATATTCATGTAATAATTTCTACTTGGAGCATCATGCAGAATGTCGTACCACGACAAACCATTTTAACAAAAGGGAACATAGAGGGAGATCATTTTTAGAAGACTTACTCATTTTACTGTGTACTAGATGGTAAGAAGCATATAATCCAGGGACTAGGCAGACACACAACAACCAAACCACAGTGTTAAAAGAGCCTTCGGAGCTGTATGATCAGATTAGGAAAACCACCAACTCCCACTGCAGGACAGGATATAAAAGGGTGAGTGGGAAGAGATTCTCAGGGAAGGCAACACTGGGAATGCACCCTAAAGAATAAGTGGGAGGGAGAGTGCCTGGCTGGCTCAGTCAGTAGAGTATGCAATTTTGGATTTTGGGGTTGTGAGTTTCAGCTCCATGTTGGGTGTAGAGATTACTTAAAAATAAAATCTAAAAAAAAAAAAAAAGAATGAGTGGGAGGGATCTCATCAGGCAGCAAAGATCAGGACGGAGAAGGACAATCCAAGCAAAGGGAAGGTCATGAGCAAGAACATGAGGTATGAGAATATACAGCATATTAAGAACTTCAAGGAGTCCAGTGTGGCTGCATTATATGCGTTAGGATAGGAGGTGAGGCTCAAGGTCTTGCTGGGGTCAGCTAGGTTGTGAAATGGTTTTAAAGTCATTTTGAGAGGCTTGAACTTCATGCTGTGAATGATAGGACTCAGGTATTTTTAAGTAGGGGAGAGTTATTAGACGGCGATTTAGAAAGGACATCAATTCTGGCAGCCATGGGCAATATAACCTGGAGGATAGGGAGGAGAGGGAGCCTACTGCAAAAGGAACCACTACGGGGGCCACTGAAGTAGCCCAGGCACACAAGCACGGGGTCTGAACATCAGCAGCAGGTAAGACGAAGCATGCGGAGTAAACTGGGAGGGTATTTTCAAAACATGGCTCTACCATGACCTGGTGACTAAGACATGCAGGAGAGGAGCCTCCCAGGGGACATCTCACTCCAGAAGTCACCTGCTCCACAGCTCCATCCCTGATGTCCCCAAGTACCACACCCAACCACTCATCTCCTTTCCAATGCAGAGTATGAACCTAGGGTACCTGATTATATCTTCAGCGCTGTTTGGAAAGGCTTCCTTGGAGAGATCATAATAGCTACCAGTGATTACAAATCTCGGGCTAGATAAGGTGTTGCTATAGGAGTAAAGTGCTATTTTATGTTTCTCTCATGAAAACCCTGTGCTCTGTCTTCTCAGTCTCTTTGTCTTTACCTGGCTGACTCATACTCAACCATCAGGTCTCAGCTTAAACAAAATCTCCTAGAGGAACTTTTCCTAACCCCCGCCTAAATGAGGTCAGGCCCCCATCAAACACGTCCATAACAGTCTCTCTTTGCCAAGACCTAACAAGGTTTAATTACTTGTTCAGTGCCTGCTGTCCTGCGAGATTGTGAGATCCACAAGGGCAGAGTCTGTCTGCTTTATTCACCACTGTACTCGCCCTGCTGAACATTCAGCAGGTAAGGAGAAGTCAAGTAAAATGGGGGGACAAGCTATCTCAGTAGGAAATGAACCAAACTCAGATCTGAAAAAATTTTTTAAAATGCACTGGACCTCCTGAAACAGAGAGAATATAGCCAATTTGCTAAAAAAAACAAACAAAAAACTAAGAAAACAAAGATGTATTTCTGAACTTTTGGCAAGACCAAAAGAGGAACTGGCCACTGCTTGCTGTTCTCTTCCTTTCTCAGCCAGCTCCAGGATGACTACAACCTCCACTCACATGCTCATGGTGCTCAAAACTCTATACTCTTGCTTAATTAGAGTATTCCTATCTTATCTAGGGCTAATATTCATTTGTATTTTACAATGCAACTGGCAGTCTGCACAAAAGAATACATAAAGATATACAACAAGTATAGCCCATCTCGACCCCCCAAAGTTCCAATTGTTCAAGCTCTCACCTCATCTGGCACTCCTCTTAAAAAATAAATGTTATGGCTGGTCCTGCAGAATAATGATCAACATCCGCTCTAAAATCCTCTAGCATATCTTGCAGTACAGAGGCCAGAAAGCAAGAACTACATTTCCCAGACTCCCTTACCACTACAGGTCTGCTTTTGCCAATTAGATGCACAAGATAGAGAAGTCAGAAGTGAGACGGACACCATCTTCTTGCCGCTTCTCCTGGCAAGCATGGCTGTGGAGAAGTGGGATTTTTCTGCATGTCGGTGTCTAATCATTAGCTCTGGGAAGGCGTAGAAAGGAATGCTGCAAGGCCAAGTGGTTGCCTAATCTCTGGACAGCAACTACAACAGGGTGTTCTTGAAATGGACAGCTTCAGTGTCAACTCCTGATTCTGTATGTTCGCAATTAGAGAAGTGGTAGCTTGCTGGGTGAGTGAGGTCTGCAATGCTGTGGGAGTTGTTCCTATAGGTCCAGCTAAGAGCCCCTTCTAGGGGGCAACAATTCTGTAAGCATCCACTTTGCTGTGTTAAATCACTTTCTGCTTAAAATAGCTTAAGTGTTTCTGGGTCCTAAAATGAATCCTGATTACTAACTCTTGTCTTATCTTGTCTACATCAATGAGAAAAACAATGCGTATATTAAGGAGTGATAAGAAACCCTCTTGGAGAAATACGTAAATTATGTTAGGAGTCTCCTTGGTCATGGAGGGAAGGAACATTCACTTTTTCTAACAGCTTTTACATTGATGAAAACATACCTGTCTCTTTAACAAGTCTGCATTCACACATCTTATTTCCTCAACTGACTATCTGAATTTTCCTTAAGGGAATTAACTGTTGTATTTTCTCTTATACCGTTCCTTCTTTCCTCTGGTCTGAAGCATAGTTGTGAACATACAGGATGTGTTAAGTATTTATTTAAATGCATAAGGATTTAAAAGAAGTGATGCTGAACCTGGGTGCTGAAGGGACAGCTCCTCAGATGGCATTTCCAAAGACAGAAAACCTCTGTGGGGAAGGGAGAGCAATAATCTCTCTCTGGGTAGAACAGAAACCCTCAAGTTCTTACTAACTAGTTAAGGAAATATTATGACCAGCCTTCAAGAAAAGTATAGAACACAGCTTGCAAGCAGAGAGAAGACAGAAGAGCAGGGCCTGGGGAGAGGGTACTTTCTTTTCCTTTCCCTGTGAAGACATCCCTTTGGGTAGGAACTAGACCTTCAGCTGCAGCTGAGAGAACGTGGGGCTCTCCTTTCCCACTTCGGTCAAGACCTGGTTTTAAGTAAGAATCAGGTCAAGTCACATTCAGCACATTTTTCAGTTTCTGTGGATGGATATTTCCAAGAATATCAGGAACAAAACCTTATCTCTTTCATTTTTGCAGTAAGGATGTTATCCTCTCTCAACTGTATTCTTGAAAACTAAATGTATAGGCACATTCTGGTGGGTTTTGGACAAGTGAACGGTACATACCTCACTCATTTAAAAATCCCAAGTACACCTGAAAACACATCCTTATATTTCTAGTGGATGCAAGGAAAAGAATGCAAATTAATAAAAATCTTAATTAATGCCCTGCTTGAAAACAGACACAATTATCCTGTAAGAAAAACTTTTTTTTTAATACCTAGGACTATGTCCCAAGATGATGAATTTGGAACCGTACATTTTTCCTCTTTCACTAAAAAAAAAAAGATGAATGAGCTCCTAGGTTATTTATATTTGTCAGCTCCATGGAGAGCTAAACTTTCATATCTACATTGGAAGGGATAAAGGCACTATATAAATATTAGATGATTTCTAAATATCTATTATATTTTTTATTTGTCACAAGATTTGTTTTGAGTACAATTTGAAACAAAATTTTCAATTTAAAAAGCAATATTTAAAACTAAAACTGAACGTTCTTACTTAACTGTCTGCTATTCATAATCTAATGTCACAATTCATACCCCAGAAGAGAAGTTCAAAAGGGTAACTAGGGAAAAGCTGTCAGTGGCTCAATTTCATTCCAAGTCTTTGGAGACAAGGTTGTCAATCACTTTATTTTCCGAGTGACACTAACTAAAATGGTAGATGCAGGACACCCATCAGAGCACCTGTTAGCAATTTCCCAAGTTCATCTTTATGAAAGCATTTGTGACTTATAAGCACCTCCTTATCATTTCTTTATCTCCTGGTATTTTTTTTAAAGTTGTATTTATTTAAGTAATCTCTACACCCCAGGTCCAGCTCGAACTCACGACCCTGAGCTCAAGGGTCGCATGCTCTACCAATTCAACCAGCTAGGCACCCCTATCTCCTGGTATTTAATACAGTATCTATCTTTTGGTAGGTACTCTAACTGGTTTTTGAATGGAATTAAATTTTCTGAATTATCAAGAACTAATTCCATTCAAGTTCGGAACTGCTGATGAGACTAAACAACTTACGAAGGCCTTCAAATGTCATGTTCTTCAAGTCAATTCTTTTAATAAGCATAAAGTACTTCCTACTTCCTTATCATCTGAGTTCTAGATACAGGAAGCTAGTCTATCTAAGGTAACTTTTGTCACAATAAAGATCAAGTCCTGGGCACCCAAGGGAGACAGAGCTGCTAACATAGCACACTGTGGCCCCGGCTGGTGTTCGGCAGATGAGTTTTTCCAGCCCAAGTCACATCCACTCCTGACTGCTCTGACAGCTCGGGCACAGAGATGGGAGAAACGGAGTTCCTGCTCATGAGCCTCACACAGCTCTCCCACTCTTGACATTAGCTGTACAAAAAAAAAAAAAATCACAAAACGTCACCCATAAAGAACCTCAAACCTTTGACCTATGTATAAAAAACTGCAGCGTGTCTAATATGCCAGGCCATTCTTCCAGTATCTCTTCCAGTATGTGACCAAGTTCATCTTCAGCGCTATTTCAGATACTGCATTAGGACCCTTAACCTCCACCTTCCCAGTACTACAGCCAAAAAGATTTAACGCCCAGAAACCATTTAAAATCATTTGTTGCCTCCAGGCATTATAAAGATCAAAATGTAGAAACAGGAAGTTTTACACTGAATGAGAGGGAGATAGAAACAAAGGGAACTAAGGATTTGAACATCAATTTGATGGTGAAAATACCAATAAAGAAGAATAGAAAAATAAGGAAAGAGGTTATGCTTTTCATATTAAGTGATGGTATTTATTTTTTATTTTTTTTAAAGATTTTATTTATTTATTCATGAGAGAGAGAGAGAGAGAGGCAGAGGGAGAAGCAGGCTCCCAGGGAGCAGGGAGCCCGATGCGGGACTCCATCCCAGGACTCTGGGATCATTACCTGAGCCAAAGGCAGACGCTTAACCATCTGAGCCACCCAGGCGCCCTTAAGTGATGGTATTTAAAGAAAACATCTTAAATAAAGTAACACAACTGTTCAGATGAAAATAAGTTACAGGACCGAAAGATAATGTTACAAATGAAATTTAAAAACTAAATGCCTAAAGTTGGCCCCTGGCAACGATTTTTTTTAACTAACTAAACTGTAAAATATACAAAATATGGAATAAACAATAAGAAATATGTATTAACAATACTTTTTAGCAGGGAAGAAATTATGGAAATCATCAAATATAAAACAGTGTAAACTGCACAAGAAGGTAATTTACATCTTCTAAAACCACCTAGCAGAACTGATTAAGGGATTCCAATGGCAATTTAACTCCTTTGATAAAAACAAAGGAAATTTCATTGCAGGGTGTGGAACAGGGAGCTCCTGGGAAATTGGTGAAAACCAGGACACTGGAAGAAAGGCCCTGGGAGGGACATGGGCATGGTCCCCTTGAGATTTGGCAAATACCAAATATAGGCAAGGATCTAGGGTGAGAAGAAAGGAGAAAATGTATTATCTGAACAGCCTGGGTGTCAAGGGACTGGGACTTAGCCACTGTACCTTGTGCTCCTGATCTCTCATGGGGGAAGGACATACTTTTCCCTCTCCAGTCATTTCTCCACCCATCATCACCTGCTTCTTCACACACTCGCACCCTTCTCAGCACCTCATTCAGTGAGACTCCTAAAGGTACAACTTCTGACACAAGACGGCGATCCAAGAAATCAACACATTTCAAAGACAATTCAGCCTTGAGTTCACACAGGCTTCCGGGACATGAGAAGAGCCAGCCCAGCCAGCCCTGCGCGAGACACCCCCATCTGCTTCAAAGCAAATGCCTTGAAGGGGCGGGGACAGGCGGTCGAAGAGGTCGGGAAGGTCCCCGATTTGGGGACTAAGATGATGACAGAAACTACCAGCTGGCCTGCAATCCTTGTAGATTTGGGGAAGCGGGGAGTGTGAAATAGGGAGATTCTCATGCTGGGGCTTCAGGATATGGAAAGCGGAAGCCACTGCTGAGATGGTCAGATGAAGGTTAAGGAGCCCAAGCGCCTGAGGTTCCAAGCGAGGCCTGCGGCGTCTCTATCCTACCCATCGCACCCACCAGAGCAGCCCCTGCAGCCCGAGCACGCGCGCGCACCCACTCCCAAGTCAATCATTCCCCACCCGCCCTGCGACCACCCGTAGGCCTCCAGCCCCCCACCCCCTTCCCCACCCGGCTCCGCGGCCCAGCCTTCGCCTTACACTGGATGGGCGGGTAGCAGCTGGGGTCCTCGCCGCCGTGCTGGCAGCGGCTGGAGAAGGCGCTGCGCGGGGTCACGTAGTTGCTGGGGAAGATGCCCACCCGCTGGTTCAGCTGCCCGGTCCACCAGCCCTCGTCGCCGGACACCTGCGAATCCTTGGACAGCACCTCCACCACGTCGCCCAGCCGCAGGGTCAGCTCGTCCTCGCCCGCCGCCTCGTACTCGAACACCGCCGTCCAGTAGGGCAGCGGTGCCTCGGGACCCAGCTCCCCCGGGGCCGCCGCCTCCTCCTCCTCGTCCTCCTCCTCCTCGGCCCCGGCCCCCGCTCCGTCCTCCCCCGGCGGGGCGGCAGCGGCGGCGCTCGTCAGGCAGCCGAGAAGCGCTCTGGAGGGCTCCATGGAGCGGCCGATCCATAGGGTGCGGGGCTGCCGCCGCCCGCAGGAGCCGCCGCCGCCTATTGTTCATGCGGCTCCGCAGAGCTGGGGGGACCCCCCTCCCCCGACGGCGGCCGCAGGTAGGGCCCGGGCTGGCGGGGCGGGGAGAGCCGGCTAGCTGGGGCTGGCGCGGCGCGGCGACAAGTGCGCCGAGCCGGAGTGCTCACCGCGGCATGGGGGGCGCGGCGGGCCGGAGCCCCCGCCTCCGTGCTCGCCCCCCCCACCCCGGGGGCGGCCTGGCCACCTCCGCCGCGGGTGCCTGCTAGCTCAGCCGGTGCCCGCCGCCGCCCGCCGGCCGCCGCTCCCCTCTCCGCCCGCGCCCCGCCCCCAGCGCCGCCCGCACTCCCGGGACCACCTGACGCGGGCCTGGCTCCGCCCCAGCCCTGCGGACCCGAAGGGGCGGGGCCGCCCGGCGCTGGGCCCACCCTCCCCACGCCAACCCGCCCTCCCATTGGCCGCTGCCGACCGTCCGCAGGTTCCTCGCGCCGCGGCTGGGGCTGCCCCGCCAGCCACCGGCCCGCCCCTCTCCACCCCCTGCGCCTACGTGTCTTGCCCCCGGGGCCCGCCCCCTTTTGCGGGCTCTCCTCAACCCCAGGTCGACCCATTTCTCTCTCCCATTGGCCCGCGGCAGCTCCAATCATTGGTCCGTGGTACCTGTCCATTTCCTGCGAGAGTTCAACACCTCCTGGCAGGAGGAGTCTGCGGCCTCATTGGGTGCATCAGAAGGGATGGGTGGATCCTCAAAGGTAAGGCCGAGTCTCAGTTCCGACCGAAGAGGCTGGAGGAGGCCGCGCCCTTTGTTTGTTGTGGTAGGGCAGGGGACCCGTTGGGCAGCACCTGTGCTCTTGATCCTGAAGTGAGCTTCTGAGAGTGAGAAGAGGAAAAGCGAGCTGGCTTGTACCTCCCCCGCCAGATCCCTTTCTTCTCCAGCTCCCTCTTGCAGTTGGATTCTCCCCATTCTTGGATGTGCCTCTGCCCCGGTCCAGCCAGGTGGATCAGCTTCCGCTCCCGGCCCCACTCCCACCTACGAAACCTTTCATCTCCATAAGGCCTTTAGGCCCACCGGAATGTTCTTTAGAAGCACTCTTAAAACTACAGTTCTCGCCTTTTCGCACAGCTCCCTCGTTGCTGGGTTCCTGTAAAAAGAGATTCCAATACCGTCACTTTTCAGAACTCAGAATGAGAGACCACCTTACTGGGGCTTCAAACTGAGGCTGGAAAGCTCAGTTTGAAAGTTGTCCGTGAAGGGGACTTGGGCTCTCTGAACAGACTCAGTTTTTCTACAATTGTGGGTTTCTTTTGCTTGAGTGAATTGTACCTCAGATCATGATGACCTCTAGAAATCGGATTAAGAACCAAAGTAGAATATACATACAAGCCAATGCTACGTTCATGATCAAGGGCCAATCTTTTCCTACATCCTTTTGTTATCTGCATTTCTCAAACATTAAGAAAGAGTAAGATAGGCGCGCCTGGGTGGCTCAGTCGGTTAAGCGTCTGCCTTGGGCTCAGGTCATGATCCCAGGGTCCTGGAACTGAGCCCAGCATTGGGCTCCCTGCTCAGCTGGGGTCTGCTTCTCCCTCTCCTTCTGTGCTCTCTCTCTCTCTCAAGTAAATAAATAAAATCTTAAAAAAAAAAAAAAAGAATTAATGAGATAAGTGGACCCTAATATTTCTTCTTTGCTTTAATCCTATCATGGTAATGTAGATTTCCAAGAAGAAAGGTTTCTGACATTCCAAAACAAGTCAATGCTGAAAGATCTAGCCCAACCTCTACCAAACTGTGTTACCTTTTCCCCTTCGGTGGTAGGAATAAATACAATTTGTTTAGCAAGAGTTAGTGCTTCCCTGAGTATTTTCTGTTTAATTTTAGTTTGAGGTCGATCATTAGACAACCAGAAGACAGGCAACTTGTAAAGATAATCAGGGCTAGCATCTTCCGCCCTGCCCCCACCAGCTGCCTGATCTTGGGCATGTACTTAACACTGTAGTTCAGTCTGCTCCTCCTTTATATGAGGGGTGTGGACTGGAAGATCTGTGTTCTTGTAGGCCCCACATTCTGTGGTTTGAATAAAAGTATGGCTACACTGTATACCTAGGCATCCCACACATTTGGAGTCTGTGAGAGGTAAGAGTACTGTTCCAAAGAGCATCCAGTGTAGGTTTTGAGAGAGGACTTCTGAGTAAATGCCCTAAAACTAATGTTCAGATTCTTATTGTACATAGGATCAGCGAACTGGAAAAGATATGGATGAGTCTCTGAGTACATTCTCTAGGTTTTGTTCAATCTAGAACAAACTATTCCATCCCCAAGCAAAAGAGCTGGAGAGTGGGGGTAGAGGTTCTCCTTTTTAAAAGAGACCATTAAAAAAAGATTTTTTTTTTAAGATTTTATTTACTTATTTGAGAGAGAGCACGCGCGCACAAGCAGCAGGAGGGGCAGAGGGAGAAGGAGAGGGAGAAGCAGACCCCCCACTGAGCAGGGAGCCCAATATGGGGCTTGATCCCAGGACCCTGGGATCATGACCTGAGCCAAAGGCAGACACTTAACCTACTGAGCCACGCAGGCGCCCCGTGAAAAAAAGATTTTCTTGATAAAATTTTAATTTGGAGGAAAAAAGAATTTCTCCTAGACACACACACACAGAAATAGAAACAGAAACAAAAAACCAGGAAGGTAGAAAGTTGTCAGTGGTAGATCTCTTTCATGTAGTAGGATTATGAGTAACTAGGCAATTTTTATTGTCACTTTGCTTATTTGTAATTTTGTATGTTTCACTGTAACTTTTGTGATCTCCACTCCTCTCCCACCCAGAGGCGGAGAGGAAAAAAATCCTTAATGCCTCAGTAGAAGTCTAACTCCTCATATTATGTAAATCTTTAATACCATAGCATGTGTTTAGGACTTCGTGAAGAGTCAATTCATCAAACATTTCAAGAAGTCATTCAGTAAATATTTGTCCAATGGATAAGCACTAGGAATTCAAATGAGGGAAGATCCTTTGGGCTAAAGTTGTCTGGCACGGTTTCATGGAAGAGGCAGAACCAAAGCTGGTCCTGAAGGGGTATGGGGTGGAGCAGGGAAGACTCTGCATGAAGGAAAAAAGGGAGAATATGAGCACGACCACACAGGTGGGATGGAATATGGAATGAGTAGGCTCATCTGAGTGGAATAAAGGGTGAGGAGGAACTGAAAATAGGTTGAGACCAGATTCCAGAGGGCCTCATAATTGCTTGAATCATACTAATAATTGTTTAGTTGATTATTTGTAATTATTTAATGCCCAGTTTGTTCACCATAAGGGTGGAAACCTGTCTGTCTGGTTCTCCACAATCCTCCCAGCACCTAGAGAGCACCTAGGACATAACTGGCTCTCGGTACACGTTTGTGACTGAGTGGTGAACGTGAATACCAAGCGAAGAAGCCTTGGCTTTTGTTTAGCAGATAAAAGGTCATCACTGAAAGTTTTTGCACAGGGCTGTGAGGTGATGAAATATCCCTTCACCTAGGACTAGAAGAGATGAGGAATGCATAGAGAGGTGCTTACGTTGGGCATTGAAGGATGGGTGTCGCTTGCAGAGTGGAGACTAGAAAGCATGCACATGGAAATTTTTATTTTTTATTTTATTATTTTTTAAGATTTTATTTATTTATTCATGAGAGACAGAGAGAGAGAGAGAGAGGCAGAGGGAGAAGCAGGCTCGCAAGGAGCAGGGAGCCCGATGCGGGACCCGATCCCAGGACTCTGGGATTATGACCTGAGCTAAAGGCAGATGCTTAACCATCTGAGCCACCCAGGCACCCATCACACATGGAAATTAATGAGATAGACGGCAGTGACAGAAATACCAGCCTGCAAAGAGGAGAGAGTGCAGAAAGGGAGTCGTGGGAAATGAAATTGACTAAATAAAAGAGGGGCAGATAGCAAAAGACTTTGAAAGCCAGAGGGAATTACCAAGATTTTTCCACTGTTAAGTTCTCGAGCAGTGGTTGACAAATGTCACCCCAAAAAGGACCATTTTCTCTACCACACTGAAAAGTCTAGCATCAGTGGTACAGCTGGGCACTAGACTTTTACACCAAATCATGATTTATCCTGGCTCTGTTCATTAAAACAGACTTTGGGGGCACCTGGGTGGCTCGGTTGAGTGTCTGATTCTTGGTTTCAGCTCAGTTCATGATCTCAGAGTCCTGAGATCGAGCCCCGTGTCGGGCTCCCTGCTCAGTGTGGAGTCTGCTTGAGAGTCTCTCTCTTCCTCTGCCCCTCCTGCTTGTGTTCTCTCTCTAAAATAAATAAATAAATCTTTAAAAAACACACACACAAAAAAAACTGTGAGACTTTGGGCAAGGTGCCTGTTTGAACCTCAGTTTCCTCTTGCTAAATAGGCACAGCAATAGAAACTCCTTTTTCTAGAGGTTTATAGGATTCAAAGAGACAAGCCATCCAGAAGCTCTTAGCATGCTGCTTAGAGCCAGCTCAATAGTCAACATATTTACTTGCTTCTTTCTGCTGCTTGTCACCGTCAGAAACACTCTTCATCACACCCTTGAAAGCTGCAGAGGCTTCCTGGCTGGGAGGTCAACTATGGTTTTTCCCTCTAGAAAAGAGAAGGGAGGGAAAAGGAAGAAGGGGAAAGAAGGAGGCATGGGAGACAAGAAGGGAGTTGGGATGGAGGGAGGGAGGAAACAAGCAGAAGGGGAAAGAAGCAGACCGACGGTTAAGTCTGGGACCTTGGACTCTGACAGAAGCGGAATCCACACTGGCTGTTTGCCATTAGGCAAGGCAACCCCCTGGTGTCCCAGATCGCTCTTTAGGAAACTGGGGATACTAGTACTTATCTTCCCGGGCTCCTGGAATGATAACATGACACGATGTCTCTTACATGCTCAGCACAGAGTCTATCAAAGAGTAGTTATCATTATTATTATTATTTGAGCCTAAAATATGATTTGTTATATGAAT